GAAAAATTAGAAGATCTTCCGCGGGCTCCCTGGGCAGACGGCCGAGCGCTCTCCGTGCTGCAGACGTAAAAGGCAATAACCGTGCTCACCGACTTTGTCTGCCTCTTGTCAAAGTCCTAGAGGAAGCATTTCAAGACGCCACCCAAGCTGCAGAGACAGAGCAGTGAATGAAACAACTGTAGTTTGAGAAGCCATTAAAAACAAGACTTTCTTTATTGGCGTTCGTAAAGTTAATGACTCATTTGCTGCAGAAAGACATGGCTGCAAACTTCCAGCCTTTCTCACTGTTTCTTTAGAGAAATAATACTTGAAATGAATAATGACTTAATTATGAACACATGGTGGCCTTTGAAAACTAGTCTTTAAAAAGTTTGGGTATTTGTTTCCAAGAGGAAAAAAGAGGGAAGTCACCCATCACTGGATGGCATTTGGATTAGAATTCTGCTTATAGCATTTTTGGATGAAAAAGAGTTCAGATGCTTCATTATGGGACCAGAAACCAAACCCGTGTCTGGTATAAGCAGCAGTGTTGGTGGAATGGCAGTGGTAATGTCTGGTCCGGAGCACACAGAGAGAGGGAAAAGGCTGAGAAGAGCGAGTTCAGGATTTTTTTAGCTAGATAATCTGGAGGGGAAGACTTAATTATTATAAAGATAACTTTTTCGGATTACTAAAAAAACCCCTCTGGAATTGCGTGAGGTTGTGATCTGGCTCCTGTAGTATTTGCATTGCAGTCTCCCAGACATGTTCCTTCTCTTTTGAACAAGTGATTTGCTTAACCCACCGAAGCGCAGCCTAGGAGCCAGGAAGGGATATTTAGGTCCTACCTGCTTTTACTTTACTTAAGCCTTTAATTTGGCATGAAAAAATTCATGGCAACTGTCGTGTCAGATCTGTTTCTTAGGGCTTATTCCTTATTACACAGAGATTTTCAAAACATGTTAATAATTTTACTGAACATGGATGAACTGTGGAACTATTGCCTGGAATGCTTTCGACAGAAATTCGGGGGGGTGGGGTTTATCTCCATTTAGTCAAAAGGTGAAGTTCAAAAAGACCACAGTGACATTCCCTTACCCTTAATAACGTGATTGCAGTATCCAAGTTTGAAATGTTTTACCATGTGTTGTACCATGATATTGCCTAAGCTTAAAAATGTGGAAATAAATTAAAGATTGAAAATATTTCTTCTGGTTCCAATTCTCACTTAAAATAAAAGCTGAGAGGCTTTCTAGACTCCCTGTTTTCCACAGGGAAATTACAGAATAAGCCACACTGAATTTACAGTGAACTAATGCAGAATCCCAGATTGTTCATTTTAACACCTTTGCACACTCTCTCTCTTTGCCAGGGGAAAAAAGAAAAAAAAAAAAAACCAAACACCACAACAACAAACCCCAGTGACAATAAAAAAAACCCCAAACAACCCAACAGTCATATTTACAGTTGTCAAGCAACAGACTGTCTTAAGTCTTTGCCTCAGAACTGTTTTAAGATGTGGAATGACTAGCTTAATTTATAAAGGATTCTTTTTGTAGTTTTATAACTTAAGATTTATTATACAAGGCCTTTTGCTTTATAAAACATGCAGCAGAGTTGAGCTGGCTTATCAGGCTTATAAAGCTGTCTTTTAATTTATACAGCATATGATGGCTTCCTAATTTACTTAATTTCTTCAGTTCCTAAATAGTGTTCGAAGTTGTCACATATGGCCAAATGAGGAAACCTTTTTTTTTTAACTGGGATACATTTTGTCCTAAACATCCCTTTGTTCCGTTCCAAACCTGTCACGAGCCTGGAAAAATTACAGCAACTCTGCAGGTTCTCTGTTTTGTGCTATTCTTAAACTATATTATTGTTTTATTTCTGCTTGCTACGGAAATACTGTGTTCCACATCCACACCTGTTTTCTCTGCTGGTGTTTTCAAGGGCATTAATGATGGGCGATCATTTCTTAAACTCAGGAGCTGTCTGCTTCCAGTTCCTCAAACTGATAGAGTTTTGGTCTGGCAGTAAGGCTGCCAAGGTGAGGCATCATTTGGGGTTCCTGAAGTTTGATTGACAGAGATCACCTAGTTATTTCACCCAGATAACGTGATAATAGCAGTTTTCTGTCTCTACCAGCATTGGCTGCATGCAAAGGGTTACTGCAGGGATTGAACTGAAAATCTGAATCTCCACTGAGTCTTACTCCTAATATATTTTGCCTGCATTACGTACTGTTATTACGGTAGAAGAATTTTACATCATTTGCATATGTAAAACTACTGAGTGCTCTCAGAACTGGAAGGTAACAAATGTGTTCAATCAGTAAACTTCCTGTAAAGTATACAATGCACTCAAAAATTCATTTTGGATTATCTGTTGATTTTACTAGGAAGAAAACCCATACCGTCTAAATTTCTAACAGAAAGAAACAAATTAGAGTTTTGTTAATTATGGGATTGAGTTGTGATCCCTCTGAATAGCAGTTTTCTTGGTAATTAGTCATCCTGACTTTCATTCATTGATTCAGTCATCATTGATTTTAGAGGGATTCATTTCAGAGAATACCATGATGAAAGCCAAACACAAAGGCTTTCAGCCTAGAGCAGTTGTGTTGTTGTCTTACAGAAACGTCCAAATAGGATAGACTTACTCTAAAATTTAAAGTAATTTCTGTTTGCATTTGTAATTATCTTTTAACACGATAAAAAACATGGTAAAAACAACTCTTTTTTTAGTAAGCTTTTTACCCTTTATGCTTCCAGTATCATTGATTTATTTCAAATCAAAAGAAAGAGTAAATTAAAATTATTCTGTAAGTAAGGCTATTGAATTTCAACAAACAAGTATCAATAAAGTAAAGCAACTAAGAATGTAAAGGCAGAGGAAGCCTGAAAGGGGGAGTATACAAGGAATCTGATATTTTCCCAAGGAAAGAACATACTTTTCTGGAGAAATTCACTAAAAAGAATGCCTAAACGGAATGGTGTGTAGGGAAGGAAACAAACTACATCACAAAGGGCAAGAAGTCGTACTTGAAGTGAACGTTTCCAGGAATTGCTGAGAGTTCAGAGTTACTGGTAGTACTGAAAGCAATCAATTGTTCTTGAGCGTAAAGGAGCGCTGTGCAGGAAGAAACAAAGCTGATGGTGGGACAGAGATGAGCAGTTAGGGCAATCCTGAATGAATGTATTTCATTTTTCAGTTGGGGTGGTTATTGGAGGATGGAGGTAGAATGGGAATAGAACCAAATGTGTGAAAATAGACATCACTACAGTCGAAGTGGAAGTGAAATGCAGAAATCAGAGCCCTTAAGATGGTCTGGTTAATATTGATCAAAGAACTCTGGAAGGAGAACTGTCTCATGAAGTTTTCAGGTCTGTTAGCAAAACCTATCAAAATGGAAGTTGTGCCATATGATGATGAGATAGCAAATGTCAAATATTTAGGAAGAGGAAAAATGTATCGGAGGAACTGAAGATCTGTTATGATGAATTAGACTAGTCAAGGCTTTAGGACAGATGTGTGGGAAGCAGATTCTTTGGGTAGATATAAAAAAAGCTAAAAATTGTCACAAGGTTTACCAGCAGCACGTCCTGCAGTGCTGCACCAATGACTTTCTTTGTATTCCGTGCAGGTGAGCTGGATCCCTACACAGCCTCAGTCAGTGTGTGTTGTCACGTGTCTCTAGTGCCTTCAACGGGAGAAAGAGGCAGGAAAACTACAATGCAGATACACGGAGGTGGTTAAAAGGGAGATGGGAAGGAGTTACATTGAGAAGGGAAGCGCTGAGCTGAAGGCAGTCACCAGTGGAGCACTAATGAAGCTCTCAAAGAATTAGTCAGCATCAGGGACAAATTTTGTTTAATGCTTTTGTGCATGATTTTGGCACAAATCATTTGGAACATACTGAAAAAGTTAGTTAAAAGATAGACTCAGTACAGGTAAGGATCCTAGATATAAAGAATTAATTGAATGACTTTAAAGAGTGGCGTAACAGAGGTGGATTGAAGCTCGGCAGAACTAAATGACAAGGTCAGGCATTTGGAAACTTTAGAGCCACTTCATGAGACACTGTTGACAGTTCGTTTGAATATGGCATGAGAATACACCATTATCTCACCTGCTTAATTAATGGTGCATATTAAACAGGAAGGGGAGGATTGGGATCCCATCTCAAGTTTAACACTTTAACATCCTCTTGGTAATGCTTTTCATGTTCCTGTTGGCAGAGTTACTTCTGAATGTGTTCATAATGTGATGTATAATCATTTTTCTTCCATAATTAACTAAAAAGTAGTAAAGGAGGGTTCCCAGAGCTGCTGTACACTCCCTGCAAGGGAGTCGCGTCTGTGCCCTGAGGAGGGGATGCTCTGCCTGCTGAGACAGACTCTTATTCAACTGCCCAACCTAAAAAAAAATTTTCCACAAAACAATTTGCTACAATGAATCCCAAGTTTTTACATAACTTTATAGATGATTGAACCACTTCTTTCAAACTGTTAATTCATTTCTCCCTGGTTTATGCATTACTCGTAAAGCAGTTCAAGCCTATTCTGATTTTTGTTATTCTGGAGTAACTGATTAATAGATTTTAAAGATATATCTGCTAGAGCTGTCCTTATTGATGTGTTCTATTGAGTAGCTCAGTTACGTGGGCTGGGGTTTTTATGCAGTTAGACTGTAGTACAGGAAGGAAGAAATTGTACTGGTGGCTAAAGGAGGATAAATTCCTGGAAGAAATTCAGAAGGCTTTGCTTGCCTCAGAGAGAGGAACATTTCACATGGCAAAGAGCAGAAGCCTGAGAAGGACTGCATTAACATATTTGGAGGAAGAGTATGCTGATATTCATATCAGTTTTGTGGAAAAGGAAGAACTTTATTATGCTGGAGTTATTTTTTCATAGACCTTAAACCAGCAATTGTTACTGTCTTATCTTTGGTGCTTCAAGAAATGAGCTGCAAGAAATGAGCTTACAGCTGCACTGCCTGTGAAAGTTTTCTGGTCCTTCTTAGTTAATTTGTCTTGTTTATGACCACAAATGACTTTCATTCATTTTGCCCTCCCATGTTTTCTGTCTTCTGTTGAAGAACAAGGCACGTTCGGCAGGTTCCGCCAGGCCCGTTGACGCGGGGTGGCGTTGTCAGGTACCGCGTCTCCCGCAGCCCAGGCAGCCACACGCCGTCAGCAGCCGGCGTGACCCGTGTGCGGTGGAGCAGTGCGAGTTCTGAGGAGGTCCCGATAGGCGGCTTCTGCGCATCTCTGCTGCAGTTGACACGGATCACCTCGGGTACACCCGAATGCATTGCAGTTCTGTTACAAATGCAGAGCTGCTGCACGTTTGTGTCTGAGGAGACCGTGTGTCCTCCTCCAGCAAGGGGGATGTGCAGAGCATCAAACCCAACACAATTAAACAATGCCTCTCTAGTTTCAAATATTTGTAATCAGTCTAAAGTCTGTTAAGTTAATCAGTTTGCTGACTTCTCTGGTACATTGATGAATATACTGCAATCAGTAAAGCCCTGAAATTCATTATCCATCACAAACTATTCATTCTACTGCATCTTTTAAGATCCCCTGCAGTAATAATCTCAAGTCTCTCCTGAGCGAAAATTGTCAAGTCATGTTGGGATGTGGTAGTGTTATTTTACAGGATATGAACTGTAACTCACAACTTGAACTCATCCATCAGAATTGAAAGGCCAGGGCTTCAGGTTTTTTTAAAAAGTTTTTTCACAGCCTCCTTAACAGGTAAGGAAAAACCTGTTTAAGGAAGCATCGAAAATCCTTGAGGGAGTGCTATTGCTATGGGTTGTTGATCTTTTCAATTAAAAGGCACCAGGAAAATAAAAGTGTAGAAGAGAACAGAGCAGGGACCGTGATGGAACACTGCTAGCCTGGGCAGTAGGATACAGACTGTTGAATTTTCTTATGTTTTGACTTTGGGAAGGAAAGGTCAGTTTTGATGGAAATGTACACTCCAAGAGGATTTGTCCAAGGTACTTGGTCCAAGCAGGAATTGCTTTGGGAGTAGATGTGGCCCTCACTATAAAGTTCCCACCAGGTATTAAATGCAAATTGCTTTTAAGTCACATTATAACAGGAAAAGAGATGCAAACTTATCAAAAGTCATTTGCATAGCTGAATTGTATCAGCAGTTTAAATTATTCATGTAACCCAAAGTAATTACTCTCACAACGCATCTACAAAGCCTATATTAAAATATCATTAAGGATGTGACAAAGTTTTGGGTAATACATATGCATTCCCTGGACCCGGGAGATGTCAGGAGAAATAGGAGTAGCTGGAAAAGGCATAGCTGGTCACCCCGTGCAGGTCTGTGACCCGGCAGAGTGGAAATTGGATATAACTTGCCTTAATTCTGTGTTTCTTTATTTTTGCATGAGCAGCAGCCAGATTTATGGTTAATATACCAAAGCTATGGATTCTAGATACCTTTTAATTCCTGCACCAAATGGAAAAAAAATCCATTCTCCTTCCAAACACTACAAAAATGTTTACAAAAGCAATTTTCTAAAATAAGCAGAAAACTGTTACTTATTTTTATCATAATCAAGTTTGTATTCTATCACATAAAGGAACAACACAATATTTATCAACGTATATGAACAAGAAAGCAATCTGTATATAAAACAAGAGTAAAAGAATATAGAAAAGAAATCTTACTCAGTGTGGGGAAAACTCGTGTCATAGATGGTGTCTTCAAGCTGCAGTTCATAAGCTTCACTTACATTTTTCAGTTATTTTTTTCCCCAGTTTAATGTTGTTGTATCAGGAAGCGGCACCTCAGAGGCTGGTAGATGATATAATGGGCTCCAGATTGAAGATCTGCTTCAGAGCTCAGCTGTAGGTATAACGCAGTTGTGGTGATGTTTATACTGTCTGAGGAGTCAACTTTATGTAGTAGGATTGTGGTATGAAGCATTGAAAAAAAGAAACATCCCTCCTCAAGTACAAGAAAAGATATACCAGGCAGTTATTTTCATTCGTAGAAGAGAGGTGGTGTATTAACTCTGACGTGAACAGCAGCGAACGGTGAACACTTCCATGGGGAATTGCTGCTGACATCATGGACCACCACAGCAAAGTTTATAAAACCAGCAATCCATGCATTATTAATCCCAAGTCTTTACTTTGCAGAAGTTTATGCTCGTGCTGTGATAATTTTTACTGTACTCTTGGTGTTGTTCCTAGAAGTCTCTCTTCATGCTGCAGCCCAGGACAAAAAAGTGGGATGCTACATAGAAATGCCTTTCGGAGGACTCCTCCCTTACCTCGGGGCAGGTTCAATGGAATCACAGGACCAGCATATCAACAGCTAGAAGAGTCGAGGATCACAGACCAGGACACAATACCTTGTCATGGGTAAGTACTGACGTAACGAAGCGAGCCAGTTTGTGCCTGGCTGCTGCTCCGTGGTTGATTGCTTGGCCATTACAGTCCTTCCCCCCTGGTGGCAGTGTACTATGGATCCAGGGTATGAAAATTAAGTCTTTTAAGAGTAGCAGAACTTTTTGAAAGTTATTTTATGTTGCACCAATGAAGTAATCTCATCAACCAGAATGTAAGTATGCATCTTACCTCTGAACAAAAATTAAAAAATAATCACTAATTCTACTTCATGTGGAATTCTTCTGACTTAAGGAGAGGTTTCCACAGAATCAGATGCCTTTTTACCATCCATATATCTGCTAGTTTTTATTCCCGTTAGACTTCCAGCCCAAATGAGAAGTTCCATTGTCCCCCTGCAGAAGTCACACTACCTCCTTCCTTCTCCCTTTTCACCTCCATCTTTCCCTGTAGGGAAGCACAAATCAGGATGGTTTCTCTCCCAAATTCTGTCAGCCTTCCGAAGTTCACGCATCAGCAGCTCTGGCTGAAGTTTAGTCAGATTTTGTATGTTTATATTTGATATAAAAGAGGCTAATTTATCTTAATAGTTTTTCTTTAGCCCTGTAAAAGTGCTCCTCTTCCCATTCCATGTTGAGAAGAAAGCTTTTGCTGCTCGCAGGAAGCTCCAGATCTCACTCTTGGCAACAGGATCTAACATTTGCAGAGTTTGAGTCAAATACAGGTAGTATCAGTTCTGTAATCAGTATTCCACTTGAAGGAGTAGAAAAACCTCCTTGAAAGGAGGGGCCTAAAGGAAACCATCTCCACAGCAGTCACATCCCAGGGGCTGATTCAGGTCCCTCAGGGGCTGTCATGAGTGTCCAGGCAGTTCAGTGGCAGGGGCTGGGTCGCGTGCTTCCAGCGACAGCTCTTTGCCTTACATGGAATGAGGGGTTAGGAGGAGCCTGTGAGGGTTCAGACACAGGTACACACGGGTTTATGTACACAGGACCCAGGGTACAGGAGGAAAACACAGGCTGAGGCAAAGCCTGGTACTGCACTGGAATGACTCCCGTCCATCCCCACGTCGTCGGGCTCCTGCACAGGACACCGGAGCAGTAGGGCTGTAGCAAAGCTGGTGGTGCTCTGCCAAGTAAAAAACGTTCTGTATTTCGAGTTCCGATCCCTTCTTGGTTTAATACCAGTTTTAAGGGGACAGTAAGTTTATTATGCTTCTTTCAGTTTCATTCTTTCATTCAGACTCTTAAACTCTGTAGAACATAATGACTTGCATATTTATAAATGTTTGGGTTTCTTTTTTTGCTTGGTTTTAGGAAGAGGTTGGAGAGAGAGAGCTGCACTTTGAAATACATGCACATGAATGAAATTATTCAAACAAAATAATTTTTCAGATAAAACCCCATATCTTTCTTAGGAGGAACTATAGTTCTGGGAAAGTTAATTATAGAAAAATGTAATTAAGTTTCTGCAATTATAGGTCTAAGTCTCATGTATTGAAAAGAGCAGCAGACACAAGTAGAAGGGTGAATCAGTTTGCAATGAACCGAAAGCTGAGTCTCTCTGGTTTGGATGTCGTACCCCACTAGTTGGGTGCCTTGCCTGTTGCACCGTGTGTGTGCTGTAACTCACCCGCCGTCTCCCTTTGACAGCCCTGCGAGCACAGCGCAGAAGCACGTAATTCTGGCATCAAATCAGGGTGTCTCTCTCTACGGCAAAAAATAGCATGGAAATATGCCAGGCTTTGCATTAAATGTTGCTGCCAGTTAGTTTTCCAAATACCAAAAGTAATTTAATCTCTCTTACGGAATTGGCAAATGTTTTCTCACCAAACCCATTTTAATTCAGTCTTTCCTTGGTTTTGCTTACGTATCATCCATATAATACATCCACTGCGTGTGAATCTCATTGAAAACATTCACTCCCTTTGTTTCCAGGGTGCAGCCCAGAACGTATTTAGGGCCCGAATTACCAAAAAAGGGACTAACACAACTGATGCGATCCCTCCAGCTGTAGTCGTTTGAACAATTATATAATAAGCAAAGGAAACAAGAATGGGCACAACCCAAAGGTCTGCACTTTTTTGTTTTCCTTTTTTTTTTTTTTCTCATTGTCCTCCCTCGGGAATAATATCCCTGATCAGTATTTCATTCATACTGGTTCTTTAAACCTGTTCTCAAAAGGCCCTTCATACACAGCCACCAGTGCGCTGAGCGTAGTACAAATGTATTTAACCAAAAGCTGAGCCTCAGCTGGCTCAGATGTGAAATAGAAATGCAGCTGTATAGTATGTACACGTTCTAGCACATATCCAAAAAATCCGCTTGCTGTATTATTCCCTCGGGTCCCGCTTCCCAAAGAAGTATCTCTCTCCATCAGACAGCAGCAAAGAACACAACACCTCCTCGTTATCGCGGAGTCCCAGCTGCGTTTTCTGCTCTTTTGGGGATGCCTGGAGAGTTTCCATGCAGGGGCTGCACGGAGCTGCATGCGTGCACGTGTCCAGGTTAATGTGTCAGGCAGTTGTACAAACACGGTGCCACCACAGACGAGTTAATTACAAGTCAGCAGTGCTCTGCTGGAAATGAGCCTAAAGATATCTCCTCCTCTCTCTGCTGTCTGACAGCTCATCGGGAGGATGGGGCCAAAGGAAGCCTTTCCAGTTAATTAGCGTTGTGTGCTAATATTGGACTGTGGCTGCTTCATGTGATTCTCTTTTTTTTCCTTCGTTCTCTTTCTGCTAATGCCAGAGAGCAGCGAGGCACGTATAAGTACAAGGATATCCCTAGCGAAGTCCGTCAGGCTTAAGCAGCTTTCAGAAAAATACCCTTCAAGTCAGAGCTCAGAGCATCTGCTTCCACACCAGATCTAAATGTTGCTTTCCTCATCCGCGGATAAAACATACCGGAGTTCACCATTAGCTTGCCTCATTAAATAGTGATATGATCACAGAGCTGATTATAAATAAAATATGTTCCTGTACTGAGGTGATGTCTGTGGTCCTTGGCAGTCATGTATAGTAGATACAGTAACTCTTGGAGCATGAAATTTCTAGTAATACTACTTCTCAAATGAGAAGCATTTTTTTTTTTGTCATTGTTTCCTTTATCTTTTATTTAAAATACTTTTCCCTTTCTTTTTTTTAAGTATTTCCTGTAAACAAAACCACCTTCTAATCAGAATAATTAATTTGGCCTTGAAACAAAATGGAAATGTTGGTAAAAATTCACCAAGTTGCCTCACAATAAATAAAATCATGCTATGATATGCATTAATGGAGGATAAAGGGTTTTTTTTTTTCTGAAATGCAGGATTACAGTATCAGGAAAACACAGACATTTGCTCAAGCCCAGTATATTAGCTCTATTTCCAGATGAGATCTAAGAAAACAAATCAGGCCAACGTTATGAGTAAGGGCTATTGAAAAAAGATACGTTTTCCCGAGGTACACTGCACTTGGATGCTCTGCTTGTTTGAAGGGGAGCGCAGGCAGTCATGTCTCTGGAAATAAAGACTACACAACCATTTTGGTTTTTCCTGCGCCTTTTTAAGTGTTTTCCTAAAATAGCCATTGAGAGTTCTGATGCTGAAGAAGACATTAATCCATTTCCCCAGTTAGGAACGCAAGAATGGAATTTCAAATTTAATTTCAGCAGAAAGTCAATACTACGGCGTGACTCCTAAAATCTTTTAAACAGGAATTGTTGTTATTCTCACATACTGGTGGGCAAACTGAGACTGAGAGAAAAGCAGTGCTTTGCCACCAGCAGGTCTGAGACTCGCAACCACCTGCCCAGCGCCTGTGGTTTCCCCGGGGCCGCCCCGGGGCCTCGTGCTGCCGGTGTGAGGGCGGGACGGCTGGATCTGTCAGCATGGCTCACCGAGTCCCACCGCTGCTGGCTGCTTCTCACTGCTTCACGCACAACAAAAACTTCTTTTTACTCTTTCCAGGTATTCATCCACTGGTTTAAAAACTGCTCAGAATACTTCAATAAATATGCAACTGCCTTCAAGAGAGACAACCCCTTATTTTAATAGCGTGGATCAGAAGGACTTGGTCGGCTACTCGTCCCCAAGGGCCAGCTCGGTCCCCATCATCCCGTCGGTGGGCTTGGACGAGGCCTGCATGCAGATGCAAAGCGTGTCTGAAGTAACGGGCATCAAGTGGTGCAAAAACTCCTACTCAGCTGAACTTGTCAATGTGAGTTCCCCGGTCAGTAATTGTCTTATAGCAGAACAACACGAAGTGAAAATATTGCTAGAAACTGTCCAGGAGCAGATCCGGATTCTGAGAGCCGCGAGGCGGCCGGAGGACGCGGAGCTGGCGGAGCGCGGCGCGGGGG